CAGTCATCCCTGCCTCAGTCATCCCTGCCCCAGTCATCCCTGCCCCAGTCATCCCTGCCTCATCATCCCTGCCTCAGTCATCCCTGTCTCAGTCATCCCTGCCTCAGTCATCCCTGCCCCAGTCATCCCTACCCCAGTCATCCCTGTCTCAGTCATCCCTGCCCCAGTCATCCCTGTCTCAGTCATCCCTGCCCCAGTCATCCCTGTCTCAGTCATCCCTGCCCCAGTCATCCCTGCCCCAGTCATCCCTGTCTCAGTCATCCCTGTCTCAGTCATCCCCTCAGTCATCCCTGTCTCAGTCATCCCTGCCCCAGTCATCCCTGTCTCAGTCATCCCTGCCTCAGTCATCCCTGCCTCAGTCATCCCTGCCCTAGTGATCCCCGCCTCAGTCATCCCTGTCTCAGTCATCCCTGCCCGAGTCATCCCCTCAGTCATCCCTGCCTCAGTCATCCCTGCCCCAGTCATCCCCGCCTCAGTCATCCCCGCCTCAGTCATCCCTGCCTCAGTCATCCCTGCCTCAGTCATCCCCTCAGTCATCCCTGCCTCAGTCATCCCTGCCCCAGTCATCCCCGCCTCAGTCATCCCTGTCTCAATCATCCCTGCCCCAGTCATCCCCTCAGTCATCCCTGCCTCAGTCATCCCTGCCCCAGTCATCCCTGCTTCAGTCATCCCCTCAGTCATCCCTGCCCCAGTCATCCCTGCCTCATCATCCCTGCCTCAGTCATCCCCTCAGTCATCCCTGCCTCAGTCATCCCTGCCTCAGTCATCCCTGCCTCAGTCATCCCCTCAGTCATCCCCTCAGTCATCCCTGCCTCAGTCATCCCTGCCCCAGTCATCCCTGCTCTAGTTTTCCTCAAAGCAGTTTCTCTAGCCAGCCCCAAGTTCCCCAGGATGCTCTATTGAGGGTTGTTTTGTGACAGTGTTGGAGGACCAGGCTGGGCTTCCACCGTGAGGCGTCCACCCGGCCCTGGAAGCCCTGTCCTCAGGTCTCCCCACAAGGCCATCCCGTCCCATGGGGCAGAGCCCTCTCAGTCCAGAAAGGCGGGCTGGCTTGGGCTCTAGGGCTACCCATAGTGTCGCCTGTGGGCACTGTCAGGCCAGGGCCATAGGTCCTGGGGCCACAGGTGCTGGGCCTGCGAGGAGACAGATGCAGGCCATGGTGCTCTGGATGGACCCAGGTCCAGCAGTGGGCTGGGGAGTCTTCCTAGAGAGGACAGCCTGGCTGGGACTGTGTCTGCACCTTTGGTCTTTTTCACTCCCTGTCTGTGAAGTGAGAATGTTAGTCGTGAGAATCCTGGGGGACTCCTGAAAGTTGAGGGGCCCAGCAGCCACCTGCTTCTAGCTGGCCAGGCCCAGCCCTGCCCCGCCCTGCCCCGCCTGGGCAGCTCTGCTCCTGATCCACCCAGTTGGCCTTGGGCGTGGCCCGGGAGCTCCAGGAGGGCAGAATGGCCGGGGCTGCCAGGCTGCCACCATGTCTGCAGTTCTGTGGCTTGGGACGGGGAAGGGGCCGGCCGCCTGGGCGGCTTCCCAGTTGCCCAGCCTGGGAAGGGACGGGCCTGGTGGGATGGGGCGCCGGCCCATGTCACGGCTCAGGGCCCTACCCAGGGGAGGGCTGCGGTCCATCCGGAACACGCCGAGCCCACCTGAGGGGGCCGTGCCAGGAATGGGCACCAGCCTGCTGTGCCTGTGTGGGGAAGGTGGCAGAGCCCCGGGCAGCCATGGGGTGGGATCCACACGGAAGACAGAGCTGCAGGCCCAGAGACAGGTGGGGGCTAGGAAGGATGACTGGCTGAAAGGCGGGTGGGGCTGGGGTGGTGGGAGGGAGGGAAGCAGGAGGTGGAAGGCTGCCGTGTAGACAGGAACCAGGGTTTGAGGAGTCCTTCCTCGCAGGCCTGGGGGCCGTGAGCACGGGGCGACCCACCCTTGGCCAGGCCCCTCATCTCTCTCCCAGGCCAGCCACCTGCCTCTTCCTCTCTGCTGTCTGGTTATCTTCACCCCAGCCCTCAGCCCTGTGAGGGGCTGCCTAGTGGGGCGCAGATGGACGGCCAGCCTCTGGGGTGGCTTCCTGGTCCCAAGGCCTTCCCCGGGGGCTTTTGGAACCTTCCTTGCAGGGCTTGGTTCTGGTGTCACTCTAGCAGGGACCCCACTGCTCCCCAGATTGGGGATTCCCAGCTTCCTCTTTCCCCGGCAACACCCCATCCTTGAAGCCCCCTGGTGGGCCCCAGCGTCTCTTGGAGGGGAGGAGACAGGTAAGACCTGTGATCATAGCAGCGCTTTGAGGCTTCTGGCCATACACCAACAGGATCCCCTCCCCGGCCTGGCCAGGCCCCATCTCTGAACACAGATATTGTGCTCAGGCTTCCCGGCAGCCCTCTAGCCCTGGGCCCTCCTTCCTCTTGGGGCCACAGGCCGAGATGCAGACACTCCCCTACCTCAGCCCACAGATCATGGGACAAAATGGCACAAGTCTGCCTAGACACCCAACGCGGGCCATGCACAGGTCCCCACCCCTAGATGGGGCCTGCAGCCTTGGGGCCACACCAGGACCCGGAGGCCACCGCCCTCTCCCTCACTGCCGCCTCTCCCTTGCCAGGTCCGGCCTCTTTGGACTGCCCCCGCTGGCACCGCTGCCCCTGGCTGACGAACCGCCCGCCATCGGCTGCCACGGCCCGGTCCCCGAGGAGGGGGGAAGAAGAGTGGCCGAGGGGGGGAGCGGCTCCCCTCCTCCTCCCTGCAAGGGCCAGTCCCCCAAGGAGACCCGGCCGCTCAAGGCCGCCGGCCCCGCGCCACCCCCGCCGCCGCCAGTGCCGCCGCTGCCAGCCACGAGCCTGCCCCCCTTCCCGCCCTACTTTGAAGGCGCCCCCTTTCCACACCCACTGTGGCTGAGGAATACCTACCAGCAGTGGGTGCCGCAGCCGCCGCCCAGGGCCGTGAAGCGGACTCGAAGGCGTCTGTCCCGGAACCGAGACCCAGGACGGCTCATCCTGAGCAGCATCCGTCTGCGGCCGCGCCAAGTGCTCTGTGAAAAGTGCAAAAGCACCGTGAGCCCCGCGGAAGTTGGCCCCAGCCCCCCCACCACCCCCAGGGGCCGCCGGAGGCTGGGCAGCGGCCCAGACAGAGAGCCCCGCAAGCCTCAGGAGCAGGAGGACGCCGACCTCACCGCGGGGGCCACCCCCAGGAGGAGCAAGAGGGAGAGGCGGGAGGAGGACCGGGCCCCCCGGGAGCGGGTCCCCCGGAGCCCAGTCATCAAGATCTCCTACAGCACGCCCCAGGGCAAGGGCGAAGTGGTCAAGATCCCCTCCCGCGTGCACGGCTCCCTGGAGCCCTTCTGCCCCCAGCAGGCCCCGCACAACGGCAGCCTGGCCCCCGAGGGGCCGCGGGACTCCGAGCCCAGGGGCAGCGGGGACTGGGTGCCCTGTGGGTCCTCGGCCTCCGTCCCCAAGCTGAAGCTGACACGGCCCGGGCCCCCTGGCCCGGACCTGCCTCCGCCCAAGATCCGCCTGAAGCCTCGTCGGTCGGGCGATGGGGAGCAGGAGCCCCTGTACCGCGCCGAGCTGGTGGAGGAGCTGAATGGAGGCCCGCGGGGGCCCCGCGCCTGCTCACCCGCTCTCTTTCCAGACGGCTCTGGCCACAGGCTGGAGGACATGTCTTCTGGAAGTTCCGGTGAGGAGGAGGATGTCCACAGGCGTCCCCAAGGGAAGCAGGAACGCGAGGCCCTGGCGTTTCCTTGCCCCGAGAGGAGAACAGGTGGCCCCCGGGAGCCGGCGCACGGCCGCCCCGGCCCGGAAGAATCTACGTCAGCCGGCTCTGAAGTGACCTCTCTGGACACCGGCGACCCCTCCTCCCGGGACCCTGCCTCTGCCGCCTCCCCGACCCGAGACGCGCGGCCTACTGTGCCCCCGCTCACGGTCAAGCTGCACACGCAGAGCGTCTCTAAGTGCGTTACCGAAGACGGAAGGACGGTGGCCGTAGGGGACGTCGTGTGGGGTAAGATTCATGGCTTCCCTTGGTGGCCAGCGCGTGTCCTTGACATCAGCCTTGGCCAGAAGGAGGATGGAGAGCCCTCTTGGCAAGAAGCAAAAGTCTCATGGTTTGGGTCTCCAACTACATCCTTCTTGTCTATTTCAAAACTCTCCCCTTTCTCTGAATTTTTCAAACTGAGATTTAACCGTAAGAAGAAGGGGATGTATCGGAAAGCCATAACAGAGGCTGCAAACGCCACTCAGCACGTGGCCCCAGAGATAAGGGAGCTCTTGGCTCAGTTTGAAACGTAACTTTGGTTCTGCGGCCAGGTGAGTGAGTCCCCTGGGGCGCTTCCTGAGCCGGCGCCTGTGTGGTGCCCGACGCACCCCTGCTGGTTCACACGGGCTGCGGCCCCTGGCTGCCGCAGGGCGGGCATCCTGAGCTTGCTTGTCTTTGCCAGTCTTGTCACCTGAGCGCCCTGATTTATAGACGAGGCCAATTATCAGCTGTGTGTTCAAAGCCAGTCTGAGGTTTAGAGCATTTCTCAAAGCCCCGTGGGAGAGTTCCTTCGCGCAGTTTGAGGAAGGGCTCCAGGGCAAGGCTCGTCTTCTGTCCCGTGCTCCTTCCCTTTCAGAATGCCGGGCCGCACCTGGTGGCTCTCCTGCTCCAGGTGTGCCACAATGCCCTGCACTGGCCGCAAGGGGCGGGGAACAGCGTGGGCCACGCCTCCGCCCCTTGCTGGCTGAGGACCTGTCCCAGCCTCTGGGCCCAGCGTCCCTGGGACCCCCGTCTCCCACTGCCCCAGGAGAGCTCTGGAGAGCCACAGGCAGCCCTCTGAGGACCCTGCGGAGCTGGGGTGTCCCCTCATAACGGATGATGAGGTGTGACCGCGGGCTCTGACCCCGTGTCATCTTGTGCAGGCGGGAGCCAGCCTGTGGGGTGGGGAGCATGGCCTGGGGCGCTGGGGCCACCCCTGCGGAACGTCCTGCGGTTAGGGCTGCTAGCTGTCGGCCTGTGGCAGACGGCCAGGAGAGTCACCCATAGGGTTGGAGGGGCACCCCGCGGGGCTGCAGAACTGCAGGGAGCTGCAGCTGCTCCAGACCTCCGCTGGCCCCGTCCAGCTCGGGGCACGAGGTGTGTCCTGCAGGGTCACCTGCTTTGCCCTCACTGTTGGGAAGACTTACTTTCTCGGGCCTGGGAGCCTGAGGCCCTGTGATTTCCTCCCCAGATTTTCAATCTGATGCTTCCCATGGGCACAGAGATGTGGCAACCTGGAACATTCTAGGCCAGGGTAGCACATCAGCCCCACCTGGGCCTCCACTTGGTCTTGGTAACGGTTACGCACCTGTGGGCCAGCCTGCCCGCTCGGGGGACCACTCTGGGGCCTCAGCCAGGCAGGGGACATGTGCTTGGGGAAGGGGCCTGGTCAGTCTCCTCACTGCTCCACCGTAGGGTCCAGGAGGGCAGCTGTGCTGTCAGGGGCCTAAGGCTGCCTGTGCTGTGCTCAACCCCCCCCCCCCCCGTGCTTGCTGGGTGCGGGTGCATCTCTCCCCTCATTCCAGGCCAGGGCCGGGTCTGTACCCTGGCTGGGGGTGGGGGCAGCCTTTGCTGGTCTCAGGCTGGGACACCCTGTGGGGAAGGGCAGTAGGCTTGAGGAGGAGTGAAGGGGAAGGTCAGGTCACTGGCTACTGGGGTCTGGGTGGGTGTGGCCCTGGGGTGCCTGCTTGCCTCTGGGCCCTCCCTTCCCCTGCCAAGCCCTGATGAGGGAGGCGGGGTGGGGCAGGCCAGCTGGGGGAGGGGAGGCTGGGGGCGCTCCCCCATGGTGGACCTCAGCTCAGCCCTCACACCACCACCTTCAGTTCTGGTCCTGGTGGCCGTGGGGGCTCTGTTCCAGGACCGGACACAGCACAGGCCCACTCAGTCAGAGGCCCAGCGTGGCCTTGGCTGCACCTGGGAGCCGGCAGTCCTTGCGGGTTCAGGGCTGGCCCTGTTTATCCGGAAGCAGAGGAAAAAATCTCACCCAACTGGTTTGCCTGGCCATCTAAACAGGCTCCTTGTCCTGGGGCCTTGCCTGGACCAACCTGTGCCCGGCAGCCCTGGTGCTCAGGGTTCTGGGGAACTGGACCCCTCCAACCTTGAGTGCAGAAAGGTGTTTGTCCTATATCTTCTTTTTGTAAGAATTAAAGGCAGAGCAAAGCCCTCAGTCAGGCGTTTTGTGCTCAGCTATGACCAGAGGCGGCCCCGCAGCCTGGAGTCCCGCAGGTGTGGTCCAGCAGCTCCTGGTGTGGTCCGGCTTTGCTCTGCCTTGCCAGCAGTGCTGCTGGGCTCAGCCCCAACAACGCCTTCTCTCTGCCAGGAGCCCACCGGAGGGCTGGTGGCCATCTGTCCTCTGGAGCCGGACACTCAGAGGAAGGAGGAGTCTGGGGGCTGGGCTCACCGGTGGGGCTGCCGTGCCTCCAGAGGCCCTGCTGCCTCCTGAGCATCAGGAAGAGCCCCCCAAGACGTGCTGTCCCAGAGATGTCCTTCGCTCGCTGTGACAGGTGGCCAGAGGCTTTGTTGGGGGAGGGGCAGGGCTGGCCTAGGCAGCTAGGCATGGGATGGGCCCCAGGACAGCGCCACCTGTGTGACGCACCTGTGTGACTTGGGTTCCCCTCTGAGCCCTGACGCGGGCGGGAGGCCGGGCCACCCCCAGGTTTTCTCACTGTCCTGGGGTGACAGCAGTGCTTGCCTTGCCGGTGAGCCAGTGAAACGTCCCCAGTGCTGTGTCACACCCAGGGCTTGGGAACGGCCTTTCTCCAGCCCCTCGCAGGGCTGTGCCCGAGGGCGGCGGTGTGCTCTCAGGGCGGGGGGGGGGGGGGGGGGGGGCGGGGCCGGGGCCAGGGAGCCGGGCCATGGCTGGTGCCAGCTTCTGGAACTGGGGTGCTCCCCTCTGTGTCCCAGTGACACTCCGACCTCGGGGCGGCTTCAGGCAGCTCTCCAGGGAGGTGTCTGGGGCTGGCTGGAGAGATCTCTCAGGGGACCGTGTCCTGGGCAGGCATGCTGCTCCCACCCTGGCCAGGCCCTCCAGCTTAGCCATGCCAGGAGGGGCCGTCCTGAGCCCCTGGCCCCGAGGCCACGGGCCTTGGCCCCTCATCCTGTCTTCCTGCTCTGCCTTATCTAACCCCCACCCATGTGCGAGAGCCAAACTCTCCACCAGTAGAGGTGGCAGAGATGATACCCAAAGTTGGGCAGAAAGATTGTGGGCCCCAGACAGACAGACAGGAGACGTCTGTGAGTCACAGTCTGCAGGTCAGTGATAATCACCTGGGCCTGGCCAGGAAGGAAGGGACTGGAAGCAGGGCCTCAGCGGGCATCCCGAGCTGGGCTGGCATCCGGGAAGGCTTCCTGCCGGAGGTGACATGCTGAAATCACGAACGAATGGTCAGGAGGAGGGGGGCAGAAGAGCGTGTTGCGGGCAGAAGGACTGCTGGGGCATGTCCTAGGTGGGCTCAGCCTACACCCGTGTCAGACCTAGACTCTGGCCTCACCCCAGGGGCCAGGAGGAGCCTGGAGGGCGGTGAGCAGGTCCCATGGGTGCCCAGTCCACCAGCTTCAAGGAGAGGACACGGGAGGACTAGGGTCGGGCTGGAGGCATCTCAGTCAGAGAGGTCAGACCTCAGGAGCCAGGGGCTGAGGCTGGAGTGGGCGATCTGGAAGGGGGGAGGGAGAGAGGAAGGGAGACCCCGGAATGTTAGCTAGGGGAGCGGCCCTCAGAGCCACAGAGACAGGAGGTGACAGGAAGAGGACAGGAGTTGGGGCAGGAGGGGCTCTGCTGGAGCGTGGCTGGTGCAGCCGCCCATTCCCAGAGGAGGCTTCAGGGCCAGCACAGTGAAATGGGGCCTTGCCTGCTCCACAGGAGAGAGGGAGGGAGGCCCGGGCTCAGCCTGAGGACTGGCTAGAGAGGCCACCTCACTGAGCCGCACAGCCACTGGCTCCAGGGGCAGCAGCCCTGTCTCCTGCAGGAGCTCCTGCGGCCCGACTGGGCTTCAGTATTCCGCTGCAGGTCTCCCAAGTCCAAGTCTAGACTCAGGCGCAGGCCGGGCCGGCCTCCCCAACACAGGAACTTCCGCCCCTCCAGCTCCTGCTGGCTTTACGCACTGCTGCCTTGTGGCCGTTCCCTGGGATGCCACCTCTGTGGCCTTGGTCTTGTGGCTTCTTCTCTTCAGTTCAGAACCTGCCTCTGTCTAAGCCCCCGTGGCAGGTAGGGCTCGCCTGCATACTTAGTGTAATTTACCTCAGGTCTTCAGTCACCTGTGCCTGGAGGTCCCACAGGTGGTGGCTTTCCACTGCAGGACGAGGACCTGTTTCTGTGGCCTGCACACCCCTCTCCTGTGCACGCAGTCAGGGCTCCTCACGGGCTCTCCCTGGACGTCTGTGCCACTCCCGAGTGACGGAGGGTGGCCCTAGGCCCAGGCTGCCCCAGGGCCCACAGGGCACCTGCAGACCAGGCAAACTTCTGCCCAGGCTGACCCAGGGCCCACAGGACACCTGCAGACCAGGCAAACTTCTGCCCAGGGGCTGACCCAGGGCCCACAGGGCACCTGCAGACCAGGCAAACTTCTGCCCAGGCTGCCCCAGGGCCCACAGGGCACCTGCAGACCAGGCAAACTTCTGCCCAGGCTGACCCAGGGCCCACAGGACACCTGCAGACCAGGCAAACTTCTGCCCAGGGGCTGACCCAGGGCCCACAGGGCACCTGCAGACCAGGCAAACTTCTGCCCAGGCTGCCCCAGGGCCCACAGGGCACCTGCAGACCAGGCAAACTTCTGCCCAGGCTGACCCAGGGCCCACAGGGCACCTGCAGACCAGACAAACTTCTGCCCAGGGGCTGACACGAGTCCAGTTCTGCAGGATGGGATGCCAGGGGTGACGGAGGCCCCTGTTCCAGAAGGATCCGTATTGGCTGGGAGGGAATTGGGCAGCTCAGCGTGGGCGCCAGCTCTGGGCAGCCGTGGCTCCTTGCACCTTCTGGCTCATCCTTCTGA